GGGTTTGGAGGCATTGCTGCTGTTGCTCAAATAGCACTTCATTCATAATTAAATAAGAGAAAACTCACTGCCTTCCATTTGTACCCCACATTGTCTCAAAAGGGATTAAACTCAATATTAACATTTGTTGTGCGGTTGGTGTTGGTTGTAAACACACAGCACAACAAAAGCAGCCCTGTAAGTTGAATTTGTGCGTCTTGTTGAGTTCTCGTACCAAAACATCTATTAAAATCGCTGTGCAACCAGCTTCCATTGAGTGTAAAGCAGACCTGAAGACCATGTGACGTGGACACAGTTTTACAATTAGTGATGGACAGCATCAATGGAGATTATTGGACCAGCGGTTTGTCTTTGTCAATTAGTCTTTGCACCCTAAGGCCAGCAATCGTTTGTGTTGACCCTCCAGTACAGTGCCCCTTAGTACAAAGAGTAACAGTAGACTACTGCAATTTAGGGTTAGGGCTTTCAATTGTTGTATATATATACACTGTCTACCCATACATTAACATTTACTGGAAGTAACAGTGAACTGATGAATCTGAGGACACCACAGATCTGCTTTTTTCCCCTCTCCGTCAGCGCTTCAGATTCTTCTCTTGACCGCACAATGTCTCCTCAGGTCTGCTCTCACTACTTCCTTATGCATGAGCAGCACCATGCCGCCGCCAAGGGCCTGTTGATGTGTCTGTGTTGGCTAATGCTCACTCTCAGGAAGAACCAAAGCTGAGCATTCAGTATTTATGCAGGTTGATGAGGAAACACTGTCAGCTACTTTCTGTGGATGACTTCCTGCTGCATCTGTTCTGGCCTGGTGAAGGGTGAGTTCACTTTAGTTTGAATATGCAAGTATTGTTTATTCTTAGCTGGTGCGTGCTGATACAGATTCTGTGGATGGTAATGTGGCTCTTTGGGTTGTTCGTTCCACCATTTTGCTCTTGGCTGAAATATCTCAAGAATAATGAGATTGATTGCTAGGTAATTGATGTTCCCCAGAGGATGAACCCTAATTACTTTGGTGATCTACTGACATTTTCTCAATGGCCATCAATAGGTTGACTATTAGATTCAAGAGTGAAATGTGTAAGTAATATTGACATTTCTAATACCAGATACCCATTCCCATCAGCCTCATCTGTACTCTTTGATCAGTGGTAATTTGCAAATGTATTGGTATTGTCACCATGAGGATTTTAGCAAGCTTATATTAGCATTAAGCACTCTAAACTTTATGCTAAATATTATAAATACTGTATGAAAAACTCCTACAGACTTTGCTGAAAGGGCTTTGGCTGATGTTTTTAACAGCTTGAATTACCTCAAGAATTATTTAGCACAGCACCTGTATAAATCATGTGTTTGACCAATCCTGGACAGCGCTGTAGGGGTGAGACGGGTTGTAAATAAACTAGAAGTGACATAGTGCAGAATAGAGTTATGCATTGTTTCCAGATAGTGCAGAAAAAAGCTCTAAACCTGACACATGGTTGAGGAAAACATACTTTATTGATGGAATTTTGTCGCTCTTTTTGCAGGTCTGAATTACACATATGCACAAACGGGACCGATACTCATGCATTAATGGAGAGAAATCAGCGCGAGGTGGCTCACGCTCTCAAATGTAGCTCATACACACAGAGGGATACACACAGGGACAGGTTGAAAATGGGTTTCCAACCAGGGCAATGATAATACAAACTAATAAGGAAGCGAACTATCGCTTGCATAAAAGTAAAAAAAACATTAAATTAGTAAAAAAGAAAGCCTTAAATCTTAAATCCAGAATATCAGACTATCCAAGCCTGTGTTGTGAGCTCCATGCTATGAATCCTGAGTTTGTGCTCACATTTTCTCACTTTTCAACAGCTCCTTTTTTACTTTATTTGAACACTCTTCCAGCTGATATGTCAGACTTTGATGTGACTTATTTAAGGATATGGCTTTAAGTACTTTACGAGCTATAAAGCAGTGGCGATGCATTTAGCCCTGTAGACTTACAGCAGTGAGAAGCTTGACCTTTATGTTGCTTCTATTTACCTTTCGGAAAGGGTAATAATACTCAATTACAAAGCTTTATGCATTTGATAATTGTTCTTTTAACAGTAACATGGTCCTCTTTATGCTAATTGGAACTTTTTTATTAACTTACATTTCTCCTATAGTCATCCTTCTTCCGTCCCGACTTCGCTATGAGAGCCTTTTGTGATCAATGGAAATGCTACAGGCACTTTAGTATTAACCTTTTGCCCTTTTACTACTATGGGCATTTTTATGAGGCTGTGTTGCACTTGACCTTCCTGTCGATAAGTGCATCAGCATCAGCAACAATGCTGATCATGGTACCTTTACTGGATTATGGCTTAGACCGAAGAGGCCTCATGCATAAACATTGTTTTTATATTTCTTAAAGGGGAACACCTCCTAAATAAGGAATTCAAAAATGTATTATTACATATTTACGTGGCCTAAAATGGTGCAGTCAATATTTGTGAACATGAGCTTCTCTCTGTCAGAGCCACACACCAGAGAAGTCTCATGCTTATGATGTCATCAATTATAAAGTCTGGAGCTGCTCCAGAATATTAATGGGAGGCTGAATTTGTGAACTCTCATTGTGTACAGTATAGCTAAACAAAGCTTTATTATATTGTCATTTCTCTGAACCAGAACAAATATATACTTAGAACATTTTCCTGGGTTCTCTCAGTTTTGCCTATTTCCCCCCCCAATTGTCTATGGAGACGTTCCAGACTTAAACTGGTTGACATCACCATTTTGAGATGTAGCACTCTGTCACACAGTTTTGGGATGTGTTAATGTTGACTAATATACACTGAACAAAAATATAAATACAACACTTTTGTTTTTTCTCCCATTTTTCATGAGATGAACTCAAAGATCTAAAACATTTGATACACAAAATAACCATTTCTCTCAAATATTGTTCACAAATCTGAAAAAAATCTGTGATAGTGAGCACTTCTCCTTTGCCGAGATAATCCATCCCACCTCACAGGTGTGGCATATCAAGATCCTGATTAGACAGCATGATTATTGCGCAGGTGTGCCTTAGGCTGGCCACAATAAAAGGCCACTCTGAAATGTTCAGTTTTATCACACAGCACAATGCCACAGATGTCGCACGTTTTGAGGGAGCGTGCAATTGGCATGCTGACAGCAGGAATGTCCACCAGAGCTGTTGCCCGTGAATTGAATGTTAATTTCTCTACCATAAGCCGTCTCCAAAGGCGTTTCAGAGAATTTGGCAGTACATCCAACCGGCCTGACAACCGCAGACCACGTGTAACCACACCAGCCCAGGACCTCCACATCCAGCATGTTCACCTCCAAGATCGTCTGAGACCAGCCACTCGGACAGCTGCTGCAACAATCGGTTTGCATAACCAAAGAATCTCTGCACAAACTGTCAGAAACCGTCTCAGGGAAGCTCATCTGCATGCTCGTTATCCTCATCGGGGGCTCGACCTGACTCCGGTTCGTCGTCGTAACCGACTTGAGTGGGCAAATGCTCACATTCGATGGCGTCTGGCCGGTTGGAGAGGTGTTCTCTTCACGGATGAATCCCGGTTTTCACTGTTCAGGGCAGATGGCAGACAGCGTGTGTGGCGTCGTGTGGATGAGCGGTTTTCTGATGTCAATGTTGTGAATCGAGTGGCCCATGGTGGTGGTGGGGTTATGGTATGGGCAGGCGTATGTTATGGATGAACACAGGTGCATTTTATTGATGGCATTGTGAATGCACAGAGATACCGTGACGAGATCCTGAGGCCCATTGTTGTGCCATTCATCCACGACCATCACCTCATGTTGCAGCATGATAATGCACGGCCCCATGTTGCAAGGATCTGTACACAATTCCTGGAGGCTGAAAACATCCCAGTTCTTGCATGGCCAGCATACTCACCGGACATGTCACCCATTGAGCATGTTTGGGATGCTATGGATCGGCGTATACGACAGCGTGTTCCAGTTCCTGCCAATATCCAGCAACTTGGCACAGCCATTGAAGAGGAGTGGACCAACATTCCACAGGCCACAATCAACAACCTGATCAACTCTATGCGAAGGAGATGTGTTGCACTGCGTGAGGTAAATGGTGGTCACACCAGATACTGACTGGTTTTCGGACCCCCCCAATAAAGCAAAAATGCACGCTTCAGAGTGGCCTTTTATTGTGGCAGCCTAAGGCACACCTGTGCAATAATCATGCTGTCTAATCAGCATCTTGATATGCCACACCTGTGAGGTGGGATGGATTATCTCGGCAAAGGAGAAGTGCTCACTATCACAGATCTTTTCAGATTTGTGAACAATATTTGAGAGAAATGGTTATTTTGTGTATAAAGAAAATGTTTTAGATCTTTGAGTTCATCGCATGAAAAATGGGAGCAAAAACAAAAGTGTTGCATTTATATTTTTGTTCAGTGTATGTTGACTGTCTTATTATACCATATAAATTGTGACATTTTTAAAAGATCCCTTCATATTTTTTTGAAAACAGACAGTGCTTTTACAGCAAAGATAACTTCAATTAAAGCAGTATCCTATCTTCTTGTTATAATTAGGCCTATTATTGAACACATTACTCCACATTCCCTGTCATATTCCCACCTGCTCCTCTGCCACCACATGACTGCTGATGTCAGACAAGAGTCAAGGCTGGGAACCTGTAGACAAAATGGTGCGTCCGTCCAGCAGAGTGAGCAAGTGTGGGCTATAGTGAGGAAAGAAGAAGGGGGGGGGGGGAGACGGGAAAAACAAACAATTAAACATATGATTAACAAGAAACACACAGCCTTTCCTCTTATAGCCCTGTTGTGTGTATTTTTACAGCATATGTATTTATGGAGTTTAGCAGCCATATGATAAATTAGCCTCTGTATTCACCGGGGTCCTCCCACCCCTCTGTCTTGTTCTCTAATCCGCCCACATGTATCGTCTGAGGAAAAAGGTGACGCTCCTCCAAACGAACAGATAGACACTGAGGGAAAGGCAATGAGAGAGGTGTCTACAGGCTCCATTGAAACATTTGCAAGAGGAAGAGCTGAATGGTAGCTACACCCTGCGCCTGGAAGCGTAGAGACACTGTAACAAAGGCTGCCAATTATCTTTTTGTTTGCAATAACAAAGAGGTGGGAGAGGGGGTTTTGAAATAGAGGGAAACAGCAACAAACATATTTCAGGGGGACTTCTGCATAATTTCACCCGAAAGACTCATCCCTTTTGCCATCATCAGCATGCCATAGGCTATAAGTAACGTATACGGCAATAACGGTGCCAAAACGAGATTTTTTTGCGACAGACGCGCGCAATCCTATTTTGATTTATTCTTATCGTGGGGAGAAAAAAACAGACCAGCTGAATGCCTGCGAGAATCTGGATACTCTGTGAAATCATAAGAAAAAAGCGATCCAACAAAGAAAACTACATTGTGATTGATCTTTAAGCTTGATGTGCGCGTCTCTGCACGCACTCGAAACGAACCTGAACCACAAGCAAGTGAGTATTATCCGTGTCTGTGTATATGTCTGTATTTTGGTGGCTATATTATGCGTTATCCGTCTAATAATAGAGCATTTATTGGCCAGCTCTGAAAGAAGCAAGAAAAAAAGCGTCTAGCCTACATTCAACAAGTATCGTTTTATCTGCGATTAATTCTTCCTTGTAACCTGTTACGATCCGGAGGAAACAGAATGTGTGAAAGATGTTCAAATGATATTCATAAACCTCTATACTGTTTGTATTGCTATTTCTAGCTGCTTTTACACAAAGAGAGCTGCACTTTGACACAGTCAGATGTCATTTATCCACTCACATGACGCCTAAAAATGTCATTTTATAACATTCCCTCATTGCACAAATTGTGGGTGTTTCCCCATCTACACCACTAGATCAGATGCCTCTGGTGTGTGTGTGTGTGTGTGTGTGTGTGTGTGTGTGTGTGTGTGTGTGTGTGTGTGTGCATTCCTCCTGGCATCATTGTCTGTGTGAGCCACTGTTTCTGTCTGTGTGTATTGCTTTGTGCATTTGTGGGCATGCATTTGTTTTGCATGTGCCATCAGTGTGTGTGTTTGTGGCGTGGCAGCACTATGGTAAGTGTCAAGGCCTGAAATGGAGGTTTGCTAAAGAAGCCATAAGAGGGACTGACACAAACACACACACATATACACACACACACATGAGAAAAGGTGTGAGGAAGAGATGAGCAGTCGAGCAGAACCACAGGAAGGACATAGCGTCCAGGAAGTCTATGGGGGCAGTTAAATGTCTAGACGGGGTCTTTCTCCCTACAACCCCCCACCACCACATCAACATCCCCCTGCATCACACACAAAGTAGTTTCATAACGCCTCTTCTTCCTTCACTTTTCCAACACATGCATTTCCTTTTTGTTCCTTCTGTCTCCAGCATGCTTTCCCCCTGATGGGAACTCTCTTCCTCCATTTGCTTTCTCTCTCCTCAATCCTGAATCTACAGCTGGCGCTATTTTTAGATTGAGGGTAACCCAGAAAACACCCATTTGATTTCAGCAACAAAAAAAGAAGCCTCCCCAGTAGTGACAGTGGCATGCTGTCAGTGGATGTCATTGGTAGAGTAGTGATGGGGCTTCAAAAAAGGAGGGTGCTGGTGTTGAAGCAACAGAGGGGGGAATCAATCTATTTTGAGGTTGTGATTTAATTACGCATCTGTCGTGTCCTGGGTTTGTGTGTTCTTGCTTCTGACCCTTCCTCTCTCCTTGTGCGTGCTGGTTCCTCTCCTCTCTTACGTGTTCATGTCCAGCTTTCAGACAACTTTTCCCCCTCTGTCTTTTTAACTAATCCATCACCTGATCCAGCTGACTCAGTGTTTTCAATCCTTGACCTTGAAACTCACCTCAAGCTTACCTCTCGTCTCCTTTCTTTCTTGTCCTCCTCTTTTTATTTCCTCAAGTTCAAGCCCAACTTCTCTCCTAATCTGTGACTTCCCGTAGCCCTCCTCCTTGTCTAATCGCTCGTGCACAGGTCAGGAGTCAGTAATGCTTATTCCCCCGTCCCATTTGTCTTGCCCTCTGAGCCACATCATTGCACTGCAGGATAATGACGGTCCTAATCGTGCTGGGAGGGCGGCATTATTCATTAGTAGCAGGCAGGTTTAAATGATATAAGAGAGTAGAGAGGTGCGGAGGTTAAAGCCATGTGCTCCTGCTGCCAATCCTCCAAGAACACTGAATACTGAGGGATAATAGCTGGGATTCATCCAGGTCCAATAATAGCCTTCCTTCCCGACATGAAACATTATATCATTGAGGTTTTTTTCCTGCACTCAGTGCTGTTTTGGGATTTTCCTGACCTCTCCTAAACCAATCACTGGTCCCAGAAGGTAGCCTTGCCTCCTTCTGTCACCAGTGGAGTCTCATACAGTGGGTAAACCCATCCACACAATCTCAACACTCATTCTCCTGTTGGCAGGACTGATTTTAGTCACGGACCCTGGCTGAGTTTTCAGAGCTCTATTACAGGCTTCATTTCTGCCAGCCTATTCCTGAAAATGGCCTTATGTATTAATCATCCCCAGCCAGCTAAAAGGAGCAACCCAGGGTCACATGACTCTTTTATTTCTCCTAAAGTAGAAACAAAGTGTTGCGAGGGGATGATAGCATGAGATTCTGGGGGGGGGGGGGGGTTGACCAATATGCACCAAACCCCCAGGGGAGTGTTGTTGCTGAAGTATGTGTGGCTTGGTCAGCCCCAGGAGATCTCCACGCTGGTGTTGCTGAGTAAAGGAGCTGCCATTTCCCTTTCTGCTTGCTTAATTGATTGGCTACTTAATTCATGTTTTGGGAATTGGACACTGGTGAGCTTTGTTATAAGGAGAAAGTGTTTGTTCTCCTGTGTGTGCATAACCAGATTTGGGAATACTGGCTCACTGTACAACCTCACTCTCTGTTTTTCTTTGCAAACACACCCTTTTTGTTAGCTCCATCCATTCATGATATTCTATTAAAAATGCATTTGCATTCATATCATTCACTTCACACGCCTCCTACCTCTCCCCAGCATCCTCACACACTGCACACACCAGAATCCTATACACTGTGAGGCTCAATGGCAATTTGAGGGTGGGAGAGGACACTACACTAAAAGGGGAGGTGACCGCAGTGATTCCACGGCGATGCAGTGCCTCACTTTCTCCTGTTGGGGTCTCCTCGATACTGGAGAGTGAGAACGAGAGGGGAGAAGAGAGGAGAGGGAAGATCAGGTAGAGATGAGGGGGAGAGGAATGAGGAAAGGAGGGAGGGAGGAAGGGGGGGTGATATGGGTGGAACAGCGTGAAGCCTTGTGGTTACATCCTTTGATGAGGGTAGCGGGTGGGAAAAAAAAATGGCTGCGCACCAGAAACACATACGTAATTATTGCTATCTCTCTTTCTCTCTTAAACACACACACACACCACACACACACACACACACACACACACACACACACACACACACACACACACACACACACACACACACACACACGCATACATTACACACTTGCCTGCTAAGCCCTCCTTTTCCCCAGTGCACGTTTGCCATGTCTTTTTTCACATCCTTGTTTTCCTTCCTCTCTCTTTATCAATCCACTGTTTCCATTCCTCTTATTAGTATTGCAGACCATCTCCAGCCCCTCCTCCTCCTGCTACACCTTGACAGCCATTCAGGTGCTCTCCTGAGCCACTGCAAGGTCTTTTTTTGTCTTCTCCGTCTCCTCCCCCCACCTTTTTTTTCTCCCCTCTTTCATTTCCCCCAGGGTTGCTCATTCTCCTCTACCTTTCCTTTCACTTTCTCTCTCTGTCTGTCTATTCTCAACCCTCATTCTCCATCTCTTCTCCCCCCTCTGTGATGTTTTTTTTTTTAGATTTTTCCACCAACTGCTGGGTCTGTTCCACATAGTCAGCACTCCTCCAAATGTCCTCCCTTGCCTTCTCCTTCTGTCTCTCCCTCTCTAGTGTGCGCTCTCCTCCCATCCCCCCGGTTACTGCTGCTGGTACCTCACAGTCAATGCATCCCATAATCCCGTGCTCCCTCCCCCTTCTTGCTGCAGTGTTTCTGCTAATATATATTAGCGTCAGTGCAGCCCTCGTGCAAATGCCACGCGCACACTCTTTCTTTCTATCTGCCCCTTTCTCTCCATCCATCCTCCACTGCAGAAATCATCTATCTCCCTAAAGGGCTCATCACCAAAGAGCCTTATTTCTGCCTTGAATTGCTTTTCTTAGGCTGTTTTGTTGCAGCCAGGTGAGTGTGTGTTTGTATGCATCTTCCTCCCTCCCTCCCTCCCTCCCCTCCTCTTTCCCGTGTGTGTGTGCAGTGGTGAGGCAGTAGTAGCAGGGTGGCGCAGGACACGGTGGCCAAGGCAGGAAATGATGCAGTAGAGAGAAAGAGAGGTGCTGCTGGAGATTGTTCCTCCTCTCCTCCTTACCTCCCCTCCCACTTTCCCCCTCAGCCTCTTCCTCATGCTTCTTCCTCCACCGCTCTGTGCTCTTTTTTAATCTTCGCTGGATCTCAACTTCCTTCCTCCATTTTGCAGCACCTTCTTTAGCCTTCCCCCCTTCTCTCTGGTGTCTTTGTTTTTTTTCAAGCAATTGCACTCCTGACAGTGATTCAAGTGCTGAGGCTGGCTCTTAAATAGATGTGCTTACTTCCACGGTTTTAAGCTGAAACCCTCAAACTGCGCACTGAAATGCAGCTCCAAAGCACTAAACTGAAATGCAGCTCCAAAGCACTAAACTGAAATGCAGCTCCAAAGCACTAAACTAAAATGCCCTCAGCTAATCAAGATCAGGTCATGTTCACAACTCTCACTCAAACTTTAACATTGGATATGATATCTTCTCAGCATAGGCAAGAAGATTCCATATCCAAATCAACCCCAAATGAGTTTTAAAAATAACACTTAAGTACATTTAAAAAAAAAAATCAATAAACTCACCCCACATGACTCAGGGGGAACACAAAGGCATTTAACCGCAGTTATAGACTTGTGGCTGTCTGCGTATGAAATATTCAGCATTTCAACCAATAAGCTACAGCTGCCCGTGAAGTAGAAATAAGAGGCACGAGGGAGTTGCAAAGTGAAGCCAAAAAAAGTAATCCGAGGTATAAAAGTTCCACGGCTGCGATCTTAGGAGCTGGTTGTGGAGAGTTAAGTGTCCTGTTAGAGTCCCAGGGAGAGAGCGCCGCTGTCCAAGGTTCTGAAATATAAGCAGTCCCCGCTGGAAAGACCCACAGGATGGAGATGTCTTTACACTCTGCCTGCCTGACTGACTGCCAAACTGTTTTAAATCTGATTGCAAGTTATTACTTTCCTTATTCAACTAAATGAGTCCTGTTTTCTCTTGTAGTTGTAAAGATGAGACTGTACTGCTTGAGCAGAATGATGCAGTACGACTCTAAAACTCATGAGTGCAGGGTTTTTTTTTGTCGAGCAAGCAGATTTGATGCTCCTGCCGCAAGCACTTTGAATATTTGAGAAAAAGTAGAAGTATAAGGTTCAGTTTCTGGATTTTTCGAACCTGCGCACATGCAGTACATCCATTTTAGTTTTGTTCGAGAGCTGCGCATTGTATAACCATTTTTTTGCTCTGATGTTTCCAAACTCTGACTGCAGTCCCATGCAATAGCCTTGGTCTTAGTAGATCTTACCTGAGATGTTGTAAAGTCCGGGAACTTCAAAAGTGAAACAAATATAGTTTGTACCAAAAAAAAATAGTTTGTACCAAAAAAAATCTGAAAGAAAAATTAAATCTGAAAAAAAGATACTTAATGTCAACAGAAGATCTGAAGAAAAAGAGAACCAGCCAACTTTTCCATGAACCAAAAGTTGTTTCTGAGTTGATGAAATGAGCAAAACAACAGAGAGAAACACAAGTAACATGAAAGAAAAAGAAATACTGCAGTGTCCTACATGCAGGGAGAAAAAGTCTGGGGGGAGAGCGCTGAAGAGAGTTGACCCAAAGTGAAGAAGCTTACTTTGGGATGGGGAAAGAATGGGACAGGAGGATGAGTGAAGCAAAAGAGGGGAGAAATAAAAGAAAAATGCATAAGAGTGAAATGCAGAATAGGAAGGTGGAAAAAGGGGGGGGGGGGAAGAGAGGAGAAGAATGAGAGAGAGGGGCACTGGATGGGAATAGGACCGTGTTGTGAGAGGAGGGAGAAATGAAGCCTTGATTCCGCTCCTTCAATGAAATGTGATTCCTTTATGCGGAATATGAGAGCGAGCGAGGAAGAGAAAGTGAGGGAGAGAGAGAGAGAGAGAGAGAGTAGTAGGATGGAGAGGGGGAGGGCCAGTGAGAGCTCGCAGGGGAGGAGGGGGAAGGAGGAGGAGAGTGGTGCATTTCTTTGAATAGAGAAAAAGGTTAACAACATAGATGTGGCGCGTGTACGGGCTTGCTGTGAACGCGTGCCTGTTGTGAAGCACCGAGACCCCCCCCCCACACACACACACCCCCCGCGGATGGTAACACAGCTCGCGGGCGGATCATTTGACCTCGCTGGGAGAAGGAGATGAGGGAGAGAAGGAGATGAGGGAGAGAAGGAGATGAGGGAGAGAGCAAATTACTCTGGCTTTTTACTGCAGCAGAATTCATTCACTTTTATAGTGCACTCTCCTTTTCGATGCTCTTCCTCCTCCCCCTTCTGCACTCTCTCTCTCTTCAACCCCCTTCCTCCATCAATAGGGGAGAGACACTAGCTGCTCACTGTAGGGAGAGTGAGAGTCACTTTCTGTTCCTCCACATCTCTCACACTTTGGATCTCGTCATCCAATCTTCAGGTCTTTCTCTAAGCATGCTTGTTTTCTTTTTCGATCCTACCACTAAACATCTGATTTATGGCCTTCCTCTCCCTCTCTCTCCTCTCTCTTTCTGTCACCCTCCCTCTCTTCCTCTACATGTCTTCACACACACACACCACACACACACACCAACACACACACACACACACACACACACACACACACACACACACACACCACACAACACACACACACACACACACACACACACATCACACCACACACACACACCACACACACACACACACACACAGAGACAGTGCATAGGAGAAGTGGCAGAGAAAGCATTGCCATAATTGTGCATCGCATGAATCTCGGTGCGGTCGGAGGGGGCTGCAGCAGCGTGTGTAGCACGCACATAGGCCGATTGAGGAGATCTAACATTAGCACGGACACCACACTCTCGGGAGGCAATTAACAATCACACACACACACGCTCATACTCACAAACACACACACGTTGCTGCGCCACCCTACGTCAGAGAGGCATCCTTGGGAAAAAGGGGGGGGAAACAACCAGTGAAATGGAGCCCCATGTTCCCCCTTATCCTCATCTTTCTGTCACTCTTCCTTCCTCACACACTCTTAGGCAAATGAGGGATGGTTGCAGGTGGGGAGGGATGGAGGGGAAGGCAAGGGGGAGGCTGATCAAGTCTGGAAGTGGCCCAATTAGGGAGAGGATTTGAATGAACACTGACATGAGCATCGACCAGATCAATTCAGACATAGTTTAAGGGAAAGCATGGAATAAAGGATGGAAACATTGATTGGAGTCACATCCAAAGCACCATTTGTAGCCCAGCATGCACAAGATGCCCCTTTGCCCCCTCCAAATCGGACAATAAGTGTCTGTATTTGGTTCTTAGCAAGAATATAGAAATGGGAAAACAGTCTGGTTCTGTATTTTAAAAAACAAAACAATTAAAGGATGTTTACCATTTCATGTGGCAGACTATTTTCCCCTCCAAATCGGACAACAAGTGTCTGTATTTGGTTCATTTTGGGGAAGCATGCACAATCTTTTGCACAAGAAGGGCACTTGTCGTTGTCAACAATCTCCTGACAAAGGACCATTTGTAGCCCAGCATGCACAAGATGCACCTTTGCCCCCTTCAAATCGGAAAACAAGTGTATTTGGTTCATTTTGGGGAAGCAGCACAACGAGAGCCCCTCTCCCTGAAGGTCATGTCTTCTGCTTCATGCTTTCCATTTTCTACAGTATTTAGAACTGTGATAAACACAGATGTGATCTCGGGTTAGAAGTCACTGTTGAGTACAAGAACATTGAAATAAATACACACACACACACACACACACACACACACACACACACACACACACACACACACACACACACACACACACACACACACACACACACACACACACACACACACACACACACACACACACACACACACACACACACACACACACACAACACACACACACACACACACACACACACACTGTGGTGTCAACATCAGCCTGTCAGGGTGCTGACTCATAACCTTGTCCACCTGCTGCCATCTGTTGCCCTAATAAGTTGAGGGTATCTTTCTGCTGTGTCAAAAACTACTTTGCCACCCCTTGTATTTCCCCCCCCCCCCCCCCCCCCCTCTCACTGCACCTGCACAAGGTCGTTTTCCATCAGCTGATTATCAAGGGACTAATTGCACATACAGCTGGCATTGCTGCGTGATTGTTAATGTGTATTGCAATGTTGATAATCCACGTATATGTCTCCCTTCTGCTAACAGTTCTGCCCTTTTTCTCTCCCCGCAGACTCCTCAGACTCCTCCCTCCTCCTCCCTTCGGTTTCTCTCATCCTCTCCCTCCCCCCCGGTCCTCTATGCTCAGTTCGGTGTGTGTATCCTCTTATAAAGGGCGCAAGGGTGGGAACAAGTCGTCCAACAAAGCATGTTACAGCGCAGACATGACTTGTCCGTCGGAAAGCGAGAAAATCGTGATAAACTGCGGGGGGGTGCGGCATGAGACTTACCGGAGCACCCTAAAAACGCTGCCTGGCACCCGCTTATCGTGGCTCACCGAGCCGGACGCGTTCAGCAACTTCGACTACGACCCCAAATTAGACGAGTTCTTCTTCGACCGCCACCCGTCAGTGTTTTCCTTCATCCTCAACTATTACCGCACCGGGAAGTTGCACTGTCCCAACGATGTGTGCGGTCCCTTGTTCGAGGAGGAGCTGGCTTTCTGGGGCATCGATGAGACAGATGTGGAGGCGTGTTGCTGGATGAATTACCGGCAGCACCGGGATGCGGAGGAGGCGCTGGACAGCTTCGAGAATCCAGAACCGGACGCCCCGGACGACGAGCCCGCGCTGAGCGGTCCGGACGGGGACTTGAGAAGACTGTGCATGCAGGAGGACGCGAGGAGAGCGGGCTGGTGGAAAACCTGGCAGCCGCGAATATGGGCTCTGTTTGAAGACCCGTACTCCTCCAAATATGCCAGGGTGAGTTCCCCACGTCTCTCCTGCAACTTGTTAATGTGCTGTTGCATCTTCTGCATCATGGTGTCTGCTTGGGTCATGATAAGTTTTTTAAGCTTTGTGTTTTTAATGTGCTGTCCACATTATCATTGAAACCAGTACTCCATAATTTATTACAGTCTGACTGTAGACATGTGTGTATTCCCTGAAGGGATAACTTGCATTAAATGAAAGGATATGGATTTACTGATATTGAATAATTAATGCTGATGGCATAAGGAACATGGAAAATGGTATGGCAGCTATATGGGAACTGGTTGATATAACTACCAGAGATGTTGTCAAACACATCACCTCCATGTCTTTTACTTGATGTATCACCTGTTTCAGAGAGCTGGCTTCACACTGAATACCGTTTTTATTGCCATCATAATTCCTATGCTTCTTGAGGTTTGATACATATCTGCCTCTGAAACGCGGCATCCGCTGCGCCTGCTGCATCCACACGCCTTCATTAGGTCATATTTGTCCGTTTAGGATGCACATCAATGCGCCGTATTTCATGGGAGTCTTATTTATTGTATCACTGCACTGAAGCTGCTCATACGACACCGATTTGTCAGTGTTGAAATGCATGTCTCTCCCCACATTTGCCCTTGGTATTGCTGGAGTCTGCTGGGCTGTTTTTTTGTCTTTCTCCCATTTCCCATTTGATAGCTTTTACGCACAGGCTTTATTGCTCTTACTTGATTCTATTTTGGATTACCCTGTTATTGTTTTCATGTAAATAGTAAATAATTTACTTTCCAAAAGCAGACGTTTGATGGCATTTGATCATACAGGTGTACGAGTAACAAGTACCCCTCACTGTGGATTTGATCCGTGTTGCATGAAAACAGTAACAGTGGGCTTCTGTTTTATTTTTCTAAGACCCTCTAGTTACAGGCGAATCCAGCTGCTTGATCACAACTGCTTTGATTTGAGTTTTAGTGATGTAGTTTGATCATCCCTGTCTTTCCCCCCTGTCTGTGCTTTTGTTGGTAGTGGTTTGCTGTTATTGAGGGTGTGTGAAGAGGACCCATAGATTGTGTAAATGCATGCAATCTGTTGCTGCACATGCAACACCAGACAGTCAGCAGACACCTGCAGTGGCAAACTCATACCATCAGGCTGAAATTAGCTGTGGAAAAAAAGTATATCAATGCACACTCCGCAACACTTACTGTATCTACAATCACTGATAAAGACAATATAGCTGCACACACCGGCTCCTATTGTCTATCCACACACTGGCACCAGGTAGATCTGCATACCTGGATTCAGTTCCCTCTGAAGGAAGGGGAAAGTGACAGACAGTCTGCTAGAAGCCACCTGATCCGCCTCCCTGGACTTGGGATCAGGCAGGAAGTCTTATCATAGTGTCACTCCCATCCCAATCAGATTAATTTTCTCACCTTCCCACCCTTCTCTACCCCTACCTCATGCAACAAAACCGCCCTTAGTGTTGCCGTTCTTTGCACAATGTCCACATGTTGCGTTAGGGGGAGACGCCTTTGGGGTCTGGATTTTGAAATCACATCAGATATAGAAAAAGTCAAGCAAAAAAAGATGCTTTATTATGTAAACAGGATTGGATTGTGTGCTGAATTCTTGAATATCATGAGGTGGCAGCATTGCCATACCTCCGATTGAAGATACTGTACCTGCTGCCGGTAGCTGCTGGAATGCATTATGTAATGATCAGTTTTACATCACTGGTGGTTAAGATCTCCTGAATCGTTCATTAAGTGTGATGCTTTCAGATAGAAGTTTTTGTGACGTTGAGGTTATGCAGAGTACAGGGCAGGTAGAATGTGGGATTCATTTCAATGGCTGCACAACAGCAGCTCTATTTGTGGGTGAGCACAGCCCCGTTCCTCTCTGTAGGTTCATATGCCAGTGATATACGTCAAACAGCTTTGTGACCCAGATCATTGTTTTTTATCCTCTCTCTTTCTAAAAGTATATTGTCCTACATGGCAGAACCTTTTGGTCCTTTGTGTCCTGAGAGATGCAAATTATACGTGGAGAGAAAAGAGATGCAGGGAGGCTAGGGAAACAACGAGATGCTGATGTGGAAATGCAACGAGACAGATGAGAGAGAGACAGATGGAGGAAGCAGGAGACGAGAGGAAATAAAGGGAGACGAGAGGAGAGACGTTTAAGGGTTTTTTGTTTGCATGGCTGTGATGTAACGCATCAGCAATCAATGTTTTGATCACAGCGTTCGACACGCATGTAGGGCTTTTTTTTTCTTCTTTCTCACACCCACCTCCTCCTCCTCCGCTCATGATCGTGTGAAGCTTCGGTCGTGGATGTGCCGTAGCAGCACAAACATGTACAAACACACACATGCTGGTGTCTGTGCTGGCTTTTCCGCTGCAGTAGACACGGGAGAGAGGAGAGAGGAAGAGGAAAGAGGTGGAATGGGGTGGGAGTGTGGGTGTGAGAGACGGAGCGAGGGAAATGGAGAAGGGGTTAGATAGTGGTGAGGAAAAGATGGGAAAGGGACTGAAGGGTAGCGTATAGAGAGACACAGAGGGAGAAGGAGAAAGGCGAGGAGGGATATTGAGATGAACAGGGAGGAGGTGACAGCCACAGGAGAAAGACGATGCGTGATGGGGGTGGGGACCGTTGTCTTTGCATCTTCGATTATTTGTGAAAGCTCGAGCCATCCAATCTTCCTCACCCAGACCCCCGCCTGCCTATTGATTGATAATCAATTGATTATCTTCTCTTTTCGTCTGTTTTTTTAAAGACGTTCTCCCTTTCACAATCACCTCTTAAAACCTGATATTGCTCACACCGTACTAAAGCTTTTTCCACTCAGTCGGATGGCAACATGACATGTTCACTCAGTGTCCAAATATATGGACGTAAATGTTCCTGTTTGATGAAGTGTTATACAATACGATTTGCATCTGATTTATTTATTGATCTGTGCGTGGTTGACATAGGTCTTGCAGTGGAGACAACATGGAGCTGTTCTATCTTGTTTGACACATTTTGATCTTCTTACTTACTATTTTAAACTCTAATTTGCCAATTATCCTAATTGAATTCCCAAGGATCCTCCAGTATCAATAGACAATTGGTTTGGTGTTCTTTCTTAATGAACCTTAGATAATCTAATTGAATTGACACTCAGCAGGTTGAGTGGCAAATGAAAATGAAAAATATATTGTTTAATGATTGGATAGCCAAATAAAAGATTAAAGATTAAATTAAATGGGAGTGTTGGACGATATGGTCAAATATAGGTTATCATCAAGATGTATATTTAAAACTATTATAATAATGTTCAATTTACAGTTTTATGGCTATTGTCCGACAGCTGCCATTAAAAAACAGACAGTAATTTATGGTTTATAATATGAAATGATGATTGTTACCAGTTGGGTTGTTGAAGGCTATTGTCTGATTCAGCCCTTCGCTCTCTTGAGAGGGGATAAAATAATAACGGTGCAGCTTTTCTAGACTTAAATGTTATAGAAGCTGTTGATCAAACTCTTTGGCGTGAAACGAGTCATTTCACGGGGTTGTGAAGCTGAACATAATGTATCCACCATTTCACTATTGCAACTGTGTTACAGCTGAGTCAACGACTGATTGGCTGTTTGTTAATTGTTTTTCTACGTTTTTAGATTGTAAAGATCGTTTTATCCAGCCTTCGGTACAATTACTGTAATTCTACTTACCGATTAGTTAACTAACAAAAAAAATAGATTAAGGATCAAGGTTAAATAGGCAGAAAATATGATATGCCTGTCAAATACCGATATTTTCTGATTTCCTTTGTATATAGCATATTAAACCAAATAATCATTTCATTGTATATTATAATTTAGAAAAAAACTGGGAAAAATCGACTACTTTGCAATGTCAAATCTGTTGCTGTCTATCAACGGTTTCCTTTAATGTCGTCCTACTGTCCCACAGATCTAACTGTGTTTTGGTCACTTGTTCTGACAAAGCACCATTTGTAGCCCAGCATGCACAAGATGCACTGTTGCCCCCTTCAAATCGGAAAACAAGTGCCTGTGGTTCATTTCGGGGAAGCAGCACAATGAGAGCCCCTCTCCCTGAAGGTCATGTCTTCTACTTCATGCTTTCCATTTTCTACAGTATTTAGTACTGTGATAAACACAGATGTGATCCCGGATTAGAAAATCGCTGTTGAGTACAAGAACATTGAAATAAATAGATCATTTGATAGATGTCAGAGATAGATGGCCCAAGGCAGGATCTGACCGTTGTTGCAATTTTTTGTCAGGGACATTGTGTAACCTTTTTAAGGGAGAAGACCTTGTGACGAAGAAGATCTGTGTTCTGTGTGGCTTTGGAAAAGACAAAAGTTAGGGTTTTACTTCTCTACATGTTCAATTTATTTATTTACTTTATCTTTATTTATTTCTTATTTATTTCTCATTGTGATTAAAATACCTGAGACCAAGAAACATTCTCAAGGACACAAACGGGAAAACAGCAACAACACAAACCACACAGAAAACACAAGAACAACAGTTACAAGAATCATAAAAAAAACACCAGATAATAAAGCTGGGGTTTTTTGTGAGATTTAGCTCACAAAATACCTTAATTGTTTTCAATAAAACATACTGTCTTTTTTATTTGATTGTGATTAGTATTAGATATATTTTTTCATATTGTAAACAAGCTTCAATTTGTTTTGCACTTGTGCGTTTTACCCCCAGAGCCACCAATATCTTCACGTCCGTTACATCCCCATTCTGTTGGAGCTTAATGGGAACAGTGGTGAAGGTGACCCCTGTAATACTGGCTCTACGTTGCCTTTGTCTTCTGTTACTATGTTTACCCATAATGCTCCAGGACGGTTTAACATCACAGCTGCTACACTCATTACCTGTATTCTTAAAAAAAGGTGCACCCGACCCTAAAACTGCATCAATGACGTCCTTCTACTTCAAAAGTGACTACAATTTAAGTCATGAACCTACGAGCCT